TCTTCATCATCTTCATCATCTTCATCATCATCATCATCATCATCATCATCATCTTCATCATCATCATCATCATCTTTATCCCTATATTTCACATATGCCTTTAATAAATTTTTTTTTTTTCTTCGATAACACAACAAACATTAAATACTAAAAAGTACTTTCTGACAACAAATCATGAATAAGCAAATGTACATTACAATTATTAAATAAAAATGAAAATATATAAATTGTCAAGGTATGATAGTTCATCAAACTTTATGAAATTGTTTACGGAAGAAGAACTGCCATTGTAAAGCAAAATGCTTGAAAATATGACAGCCCATTACAAATCTTGTGAAGTAGATGAAAAAAATTATGAAGCAGAATGATTCAAGATTCAAGATTCAAATCGGATTTATATTTCTCTTGCAAAACATGATACAATGAATAATTATATTATACAAAAAATATACAATGAAGCAACACTAATATAAAAGTAATGGCACGAGAAAAGAGGAACTAACTTGAAGCAGAGCTGGCTGAAGTATTAGTTCCTCAGAGGATGTTTTACAATACGTCTTGAAAACAAAGTATACATTAAAATACAATAAAGTACAAAATATGTAACAAAGAAATTATATGATTTTTTTTTTGGGGGGGGGGGGGGAAGAGGGAAAAAGGGGTAAAAAAGTAGAAGGCAAAAAAGACAGAAAGATTGAACAAAAAAAAATTATGATCGTAAAAGCTCTAGAAAAAGGAGGTTAGATCAGCAGAAACAGAATGGACAAATAATTGAAAGCATATGTAATTAAACTAAAATGATAATGATGATGATCTTGACGATGATGATGATGATACTGACAGTGATAATGATGATTGTAATGAAAGAAATATATACAGGGATGAAAAACGGGCTATGACAAAGTCCGACAATTTGACGCAGAAATAACTCACTCACGAAATTGACAATAGAAAACATGTCACATCAAAGAAAGATATTTCAGAAATGTGGAAAGGGAAAAGGAAAAACATGATTCAAGGGATTTCGAGGAAAAGTAAGGAAAGTAGAAAAAGAGAAATAACTGGAGCGAGGGACACGTGGTTATGGTTGATAAGAGGTATTTATCCTTTCAAGCATAACAATAATCAAACTCACCTCCATTTCATTGGCACTAAAAGTAGTTATTAATGGCATTTGCATTCTATCATCATAATTATCATGAAATATTCCTTCACTTCTCCTTTCATTTTGGAGTGTTTGAAATATCCCATATTCTATATTTACTCATTTTCCAAGAATCTATATCGGGAATAATGATGGTCGTTCGTTTTTCAAGCTTTCCTGGGGGAAAAATGTGCTTCAAAAACGATAATAATTTTAAATCAACCTTCCTCTGTCACAAGCTCGTGCATCACGAGATGTAAATTGACGCACGGTTTTGCAGTTATAAATACACATACACACACACACACACACACACACACACACATTTTTAATTTTTTTTTAATAGTAATTTTGTTTTATTCCTCCAAATGTGTAGTACAAACAAAAACATTGAATTGAATTTTAAAAAAAAAGTTTTCAATATTAATATTAATTGGTAATACGTAAACATAATTAAACAAGAAATCATTTACAGTATATATAACTTAGCAACGAAGTAAACTTAAAGTACATGAACATAATTTACAAGTCAAGTGTACGTTATTCACTTATTAAAAGAAAAAAGACACACGCACGCACACACATACGCACACATGTTTATAACTCGATATACGTAGAAGAAAGTCTAGATTTCTGCTCGGAGTTCGAAAAAATAAACAAAATAACAAGAAATAATGATGCTCCGTAAACGAACAAATTGTTTTACCGCACATTTTTGCCATCGGGGCTTTGTCAAGTAATAAATGCGCTAGGTCATTAGGGCATTTTATTATTTGTATTAGTGCAATTTTTTATTTCTTGTATAAATACATGTAAATATATATGATATGGTATGATGAGGCAAAAATGATGAAGAAGATAAGGTTGGATTTTTAGCATTAACCTTCTATTTTCATCATTACTTTTTTTCATCATAATAACAAAGCAAACAAACATACAAAAGAAGAACGAACATGGATTAAGATTATACTAAAAGACAAGTAATAAATCAATGAATTCGAATTTTCTGTCACCTGGCTTATGGCTGATATTTAATGAAAAGTTGATCAATATCCCATTTCCCGTCAATAAAAAAAAAAAGAAAAAGGAGGGATAGACATACAGAATGTCATATCTATAGTTTTAGTTCTCTTTCAACTATCTCCGTAATATTTTATAAAAACACTTGAAAAAGGTGTGAAGATCAGTACTGTCATGTTTATCTATCCGAAAGAAAGAAAAATGCATGCATGAAAATTTACATTTGCATGAGGATGTGTACTGCAGGAAAACTACCAATACGCCGTCTACATAATTATGGAGATATACATATGCTTTGAAGAAAAACAAAGCAAGGTTCCTTTATCTTATTTTCTTAATCTTGTCTAAACATAGAGAGGAAAACAATTATGCTACAAATTTCCTGTTTAAGGCAGATGGTATTGAAAAAATACCCGGAAGAATGCGGTGAGTTTAATCATTTGATTTAACACTTGGCTGTTTGGAGAGAGAAGGGCGTTATTATTTGTGTATAAAGAAAATGAGTCGGCACCCTTCTGGCTCCATTGTTTATCATTTGCTATGATCGTGACCTTTCAACTTTCCACATGAGTACCCGTATGCAAATTTGGACTCGGAGCGAATCCTAGCTGTGTCGCACGACAAGAAATGCAACGGCTGGGACTACTACAGGTGCTCTGCAAATATGCTTTTGGATTGTCATCTTTGTCGATTAATGTATACATGTATGTCCGTTTTAGGCTTAAGTGTTGACATATTGCAACAACCGATCTATTTAAAGATACTGACAACTCATTTATTTATGTTATTTTATTGATTAAGGTATATTCGTTTTAAAACCGGATGCTTGTTGGACATTATAGTGTATACTTTGACAACGTATTTTCGCCATGCAAGCGCAATGGCGTCTGATAGTTTTAGCATGATCTTGTATGCCGCCCATTTTATACATGATACGTTTTCAAATCCGCGTTGAACATGTTCAGTTGGTAAACAGGGGCGCGGCCGTGTTTCTTTATTTATCCATGAGCCCGACAGAAAGTTCCAGATTAATTTGCTCCAATTAATTGTTGATGATGCAAATTCATCGTGGAGTGTTGCAATACATGTTGTTGGCTTCCAGTTTCCTTGGGTATACTATTTAATATCGGTGGGAGTCATCCGGTTAAAAATCTTTAAATCCCTCCAAAATTGATGGTAGAAGAAGGAGAAGAAGAGGAAGAAGAAAAAAAAGGAGGAGAAAAAGGAGAAGAAGATGTAAAAGGAGAAGAAGAAGAAAAAGGAATATAAATAGACAAAAAAGAGGAACACAAAACATAAGAGTAAGAAAAAGTAAAAGAAAGAGAAGAGTAAGAAGAAGAAGATGAAGAAGAAGATGAAGAAGAAGAAGAAGAAGAAGAAGGAGAAGAAGAAGAAGGAAAACAAAACGAGTGAAAAAGGTTTCTCTCGAGAGAAAAATTTGTGAATAAAATAATATGGACACATTCTTAGAAAACAGATGACACCAACCGAAAAGCAATACTATCTGCTCATTTCTCATAATATCTTGCTTTCCGTTGTTAGGAATAATTTAACCTAATTAAAATTAGGTAAAACCGCCCGGCCAAGGATGTCTTCGATTTATTGCAGTATAGATCCCTTAATTCTAGATCTATTGTTGATTAATGACATATTACACTGTTTTAACATCGTAAATTTAGTTTTCTTGTGTGTAGAAGTCAGAATAACTCCTAAAGATATGTTTATCAATGAAATATAAGTCGTATACTGAAAGGATTCTCGGTTCAAAATGTTCCAAGGCCCCGTTTCACAAAGCCTTTTTCAATGACAAATAACAAAAATCAGTGACAAATCTGCTGATAACCAATCAGAAGCAAGGATTTCACTAGCTTATAACAAAAGCTGTTATTTGTCACTGATGACAAGAATTGTGAAATAGGACCCAGCTCTATTTCAGATTACTGTATCAGATTTGTACTTATACTTCAAGAAAGACATAGGGATACCTTAGCAATTAGAGAGTTAAGAGTAACAGGAAAATGTTCTTAGAAACACATTAAGGTGGGGAAGTTCCAAAAATAATACACAAAACAAGATGGACAGAATAAATCAAACATTTCAAGAAAACACTTTACGAAATTTGGTCAAATGGTCAAATAAAAGACATCCTGTTTTCAATAAAATTTGTTCTAGACATGTTTTTTTTCTGGTTTTTGCGTTGAATTTACTTTTATCCATTTTTCCACAAAATTTGGTTACCATGGTAATGCGTAGGTAGACTGGAAATGGTCTTTAACTGTTTTGTTCGGTCTTTGAACAATTATTATTACACTTCGTGTATTATAGAGAGCATCAAGTATTCCAACAACAACAAACACAATCAGGAATTTTTTAATGCAATAAAAGCGTTACATTTTCCAAAATTTGTAAGATAACCTCCCCGAAAATGTGAAAGAAATGGGTATCTTTCTATGATATCATTTATCATAACAAGTGTAAATAAAAAGGTATTTTGAATAGAAGCCTATATGTTTTGACGCGTTCACATCCCTTCTCAACCTAGGATGGAATTGTATTGTAAATATATATCTGTAAAAATTAATAGCATTTATTTCTTACAGTTTTGACCCCCCCCAAAAAAAAAAAAAAAAAAAAAAACATATATAAAAAAAATGTAGAGAATTCTACTTTATGCCAAGCTCCCTCTACTTCGATACAAAAAATAGCCTGATGTTGTTTATTCTTCGATTGAATAATTGGGACATCTGTATAGCTAAATTTACGTTTATCAGTTTATCGTTAATAGTATGTATGGTCATACTTTATTTACATCCCATATGTCCTGCTGCGATGAAAACAAAATGTCATGCAAGTTTATTGTCAACATCCGTACGCGTAAATCAATTACCTTAAATAAATGTATAATCATATGATTATAAAAGCATTCGGGTAGTTGTGAAATAAGTTGTGGTAAAATAGAGGAACATTTTAGTTACCATCGTGATCACAAATTATGTACCATATATAACTCTGTTTAAAGGCCCACTGCACTACCTGTAGCTACTTGCGCCCTCTTACAACAAACAATGCCTAATCGGTGACCATTGGTCCCCCATGATCCTCTTTTTCTTATGTTAACTGAGAGCTGAGTTGATGAGATAACCACCTGTCCAGTGACCTTGCAGGGCGCTCTAATCCCTCCTGTAAACTATGGCAGATAAGCTTTAAAATACTAATTACGTTCTGCTGTACCGATAAGGCATCACATATAAATCAAAGAATGACTTAAAACATTTATGTAAGGTTTACCTGTAACAGTTTACATTCGGTTCATGAAATACAAGAAAAAAAACTTAGTCTGATTACTTGCTAGGAGGAAGACGAAGACGTAGATGAAGAAGTAGGAGAAGAAGAAGAAGAAGTGCAAAAATAAGAGAGGGGGAGGAAGACGGACAAGAAGCAGAAACAAGTAGAGGAAGAAATAGAAATAGGAGAAGACGATGAAGAAGAAGAAGGAGGAGAAAAGGAAGAAGACGAAGAAGTAGGAGAAGAAGTAGAAGGACACGAATAAGAGAGGGGGAGGAAAACGGACAAGAAGCAGAAACAAGTAGAGGGAGAAGAAGAAATAGGAGAAGACGATGAAGAAGGAGAAGGAGGAGAAAAAGAAGAAGATGAAGAAGTAGGAGAAGAAGTAGAAGGACACGAATAAGAGAGGGGGAGGAAAACGGACAAGAAGTAGAAACAGAAAAAGTAGAGGGAGAAACGGAAATAGAAGAAGACGATAAAGAAGAAGAAGGAGGAGAAAAAGAAGAGGAAGAAGAAGAAGAAAACAGAAGAAGAAGAAGAAGAAGAAGAAAACAGAAGAAGAAGAAGCAGAAGAAGAAAGAAGAAGAAAGAAGAAGAAGAGTAAAAAAAGAACCATAAACATGAAATCAGCGGTAACGACTGTATATGGTAATTGGTATTAGTGGTCAGCATTATAATAAAACGTATAGTAGCACATTGTCAAAATCAGCGGTTGAACATTCGTCAAACTAGGGGCATAATATTATGTTTCACGTTTACACAACGTTGTGCTGGGCACTTCAGAAATGACATCTATTATTTTGAGACATTTGCATGGGACTATTGTTCAAATATCACTTGACAAATAAGACCACAAAGGTTCTAAATATAAATAGGAATGATCCCCCTTATATTGTGCAATAAGCTGACCGTTTCGCAATTTTGAAACCACGGTCTATTGACATTGATAGCTAATCAAATTCTTTCAGCAGAGAACCGGATTAATGATCATGATAACTGCTTATGCCTCGTGGACATGCGACACGACATTTCCACCCCTCAATACTTTTAGCACTGATCATAATTTATTCAACAATACATTTTTACTATGAATTAGATATCATAAAACCTTTATTTTTTCACATCCATTACCCACTTCCGTTATCCCACCACCATTATTCTTTGATCTAATGTGTACCTACTGTTTTGTTATGAATGTACTATTTTTAATGACCTTTTAATACTATTGTATTTTGTGCAGTATCCTTGTGTTATTACTTATGTAAATTGCACTCAATTCAGCCGCTGCCATGTACAACGTATTTTTTAATACCACAATAAATACAAAAATAAAGATAAACCAACCCTCAACAAAAGAAGGAATAAAAAAAAAAACCTACTGTGGTAAAATAAAATGTTATTGATTAACAGCTACATCCATCACAGGGAATGCTCACGGCCCCTACGGAGTACTTCTATTACCCTTACTTAATCCTAACCGTTCTAAGCAGTCAATGACTACCTACCGTTTTACTAAACCTGGATGGAGGGTAGCAAATGAAGATTTATGTTCTACCACAGGACATAATAAAGTGGTGGGCGCGTTGAGTATAAATTTCTCGGTTGAAAAAAAAATATAATAATTTCGGATCAATCCTGTCATTGATATGGTGTGCACAAGTGTGTTTTCAAAGTCTTCATTTTAAAAGAAATTGTCACGTACATTATTTAGTAACTTATACCATGGTACCATTCCGGTCTCATAGTAGGTCATATTACGACACTTATTACAGCATATAATACAATAATTTACATTTATAAAATATAGTTCGAGGTTGTGATACAATGCATATTAATTAGTGTCACACAATAATGAAATGATATCATCGATTAAATGGGTTTAAATGTAATTGTCCAAACTTTCTTTTTCTTCAACAGAATTGTATCGTATTTTAAACATAATTAGAGAAGCGAGTTTTGAAAGCTAACGACAAAGCATTTTTAAAAATTTTCAATAATTCCCTAGACGTTAATTGTCATCGGCATTATTTAGTGTGTATTATGAAACTGGTTCTAGAATGTAGTAAATTTAATTGGTCAAAATGAAACCTCATGGCCGTGCACAATTTGTTCTTCCTACCACTCTTTTGGATGAAAATCCGCTGAGTTCACTGGCCAGTTACGTTACTGAAATCACGGACTCAAACACACATAACCGCGCTTCCATGAGTATCGTTTACTTGACTACATGATCAACATTTATGTCTGCTAGACACAGGAAGTAGAAGTAAATACAAAAGGTTAAAGTTCAAAGGTCGCTATTTGCATACGTCAACAATACAGTCATGATCATAGAGCAATAGTTGTGTGAATGTAATTCTGGACGACGCTTTAAACAGACGCATGGACGAGATGGCGGAATATGAATACATAAATAAACGGATGAAATTGTTACATTTTTTTTAATATCTGACATTGACGTTTGAAAAGAGAGGAAGAGAAATAGATATATTTATACAGCCAGGTAACATCAGGCTAAATAGAGAGACGGAAGGAAATTTGCGAAAAGAGAAAAGGGAAGAAAATTTACCACCACGGGTGTGCGTGTGCGTACATGTTGATGTGAGTGTGTATGAACGAGGGAGACAGAGAGAGAGAGAGAGAGAGAGAGGGAGAGATGGTCAATAAAGAGAAGAGGAATAAGAGTATAATATAATATTGGAGAGAAATAGAGAAGTGAAAAATGAGGGAAATTTGGATAAAACAATTTGAATTGAAAAGAGATGGAGAGTGATGTCCCGTCATATATAGTCTTGTGAATTGCTTGATTGTGCGTGGATGTGTGTGTGTGTGTGTGTGAGAGAGAGAGAAAGAGAGAGAGAGAGAAAGAGAGAGCAAGTATTAGAGCGATTGAGAAAACAATTGTAGACATTTTTTTTTTCTCTTCTGTTTTCATATTTTTGCTTGGATTATGGCAGATAATCGCTTGACTTAACTCCTTTTGAAAAATCCTAGATATAAGTTTGGTTTGGTAAAATGTTTTTCAGTTTCATTGAGCACACTTTGATATTGCGGCTAAAAAAAAGAAAGATACATTTTGAATAGACAAAATCCACAGAGGTTAAGCACATGTACGCGCAATTCAAGTAGATGAACGAATGGGGTAAACTTACACAAAAAAAGTATGAACCGATGATAATAATTTCATGGTTGATATAAACCTACAACTTGTAGTGAAAACATATAATAATTTTGTACAGCTTTCATAGTGAAATTATTTTATTAACGTAGGAAAACGTAGAGGTTTTAGCAGAACAATATTATTGCTAATTGACTAGTTCGAAAGTCATTTATTGTTTTGGAAAACCCATTCAAACCAGATTTCTGCTATGTTAAGACCCTTATAAAACTGAAACAACTTGCTATTTTATTGACGTAGGAAATCGTAGAGGTTTTGGCAGAACAATATTATTGCTAATTACATAGTTCGAAAGCCATTATGCTAGAGCGCTATAATGGCAGCACAGCTAAAGCCGGGGTAATAATATCCAAGTTTGGAAGCACTTAGAGACTTATTGTGATTTGCGCTATATAAAAGCTGAATATTATTATTATTATTATTATTATGTAATGTTTTGGAAACACATTCAAACAAGATTTGTGCTATGTTAAGACCCTTATAAAACTGAAACAACTTGCTATTTTATTGACGTAGGAAATCGTAGAGGTTTTGGCAGAACAATATTATTGCTAATTGACTAGTTCGAAAGTCATGTAATGTTTTGGAAAACCCATTCAAACCAGATTTCTGCTATGTTAAGATCCTTTCAAAACTGAAACAACTCGCTCTCCCTCTCTCTTTCGAAATCCGTCCTCAGTCGCATTCGGTTGTAGTCTATCTATTGCTTCAGCTTCTAAGGCCGCTCGTTGATCTAGGGTCGTTTGTAGGTTGTGGTTTTTGATGAAGTTTCAGTCAACTTTTATTCAACTCTCAGAAGGAATAAGCGGGACTTTTGACGGTTAATATGGCACGTGTTTTTATACATGTCTATATATACGACGGGGACATTGTAATTTAAGCTAAGAAGACACTTAAGAGTCAAATGGCGGCAATTAACACGTGTTTGAAGTTTTCAAAGTTAATGACAAATCACTTTGTACAGTCATGTGTTCCTTTTTATAGAGGGACAACTTCCCCGAAGCGGTATGTGTCTTCGTCATGCTTGATGTATTATTTGATTAGTGCTCTGATGTTATAGATGTACAATTTTGACATTTTATTCGTGAGTTTTAAAGGCGGAATTTTGCCCAGAAAATACTGAATGGATTTAGTTCCTAATCTCATTGTATACTGACTTAAAACATTTGTTTTCTTCTTTTGCATCCCGTTATTTTTGGCTGTCTAAACGCAGCTTGAGCCGGGTAAATTGCCAGAATAATCATGCTTATGGTTTACAATACCCAATATTTTTCAGAACTATTCTTGTTGTGGTACTTTAAAAACAAACATGTCAAAGGATATAATCAGAGTCAAAAACAAACAAACACAGTTGGCATCCGAAGAAGATCACAAATTTATACAAAATACTGAGAATAACTTATAACAATAGGACCTACTACAGTTTCTATCAAAACACATTTTTATTATTGTAACAATATTAGCTTCCATAGAATCCATAGAATTCAAAATAGCCTCACAACTGAGATTTTTTCCCACAACCCTTATGGGAAATTCCACATGCGTTAAAAATACTTAGAAAAATAAAACTGTAAACAGTTGATCCTGTCCGACTAAAATAACATGTTTACCATGTTAACTGAAACAAAATGGATGTCTTTATACATTGCACCATTGCCCGAAATAGTACATAATTTCGTAGATTATTACTATTTGAATGTGAACATGTGTCGCGAAAAGTACTATCATAATTGTTACGATTCCTTGTTTGTAATAAGTTGGTTCACTGTATAGTAATCTAGAAATGAATAGCTAGTTTTAAACTCACATTTTTATTTTTACGAGTATTCATTTGTATTGCGTAATATCTGTGCATTACAATGTACTTGTGAAACACGTTAAAGCTGAAAACTGAAAGTGAACGCTAAATAGAGATTATTCGAAATCCCCATTTTTACCATTTTCGTTTCACAATAGCTAGATACACACGTGGGAGGGGAAGGCGAGACTGAAAAATTTGCTTTTTGTTTTCCACAACAAATGTGGTTCAAACTGGCTATTCGTGAGATTAAAATGAACAACAAGCCGACTCGACATCAACCGGTATTCTAAAAAACATAAGTTATGTCAACGCATTTATGGAGTGTGCCAAGTATAAATTTCTTCATCACGTAAATCCAAGGAGTATGGTTAGCCAACCTCATTGATTAGGAATGCGGACAACGTACAACATAGACTATCCATATATACACATTTTTTAATCCGTTGTATTTACCTATCTACTTTCCCTTAATTGGAGTCTATTAAGAACCATAACTGCGTATTTTAAATCCGGGGATAATTTCATCCGAGGGATATTGATAATTTGAGTAAACCTGTGCGGTAACGTTGAAAATAATTATATTGACGCCAAAAAAGATAAATCGTAAACATATCTACACGAAACACATGATTTCTAGAAGAAAGCAGGTCATCTAGAGCAATTTTTTCGGTGCTCTATGCACTATCCACATAAGCCGTGTAAAAGCTTGTTCAGATACGACGCGGTCAACCGCTGTAAAAAAAAAATTACCGCCGCGGTTTATTTTTTTGAACGGATACAAAATGATAGGCAACTGCGCGCAAGAAAGCATTTGTGTGTATTCACTGAGCTCTGTGTTTAGATGCAGAAATATGAAGCGTATTCCATTATACGTCATCATAATTATATTTTATGTGCCTTTTAAATTTTTTAAGGGAATTATCAACATGAAATGAACAAAAGATGAGATTAAAACAAAAAGGCTGCGGGTTTTATCTCGTCATATCAGAATGAGGCTAAAGAATACCTAAAATTAAGCGAAGAAGAAATTTATCTTGCCCCTTAGATTTTCCAATCCGTATTTTCTTTAAAGGCATTGTTTAACAATGTTTCCAGTTTTACAGATCTGAGATGCATGGCCCTACGTGTTATTAGTGTCTGTGATATGGTGTAGGTCCTAATTTGAAGCCCTAAAAAGCGCTTCAAAAAGTAAAAATCTTTGAGTGACCGGTTTTACCATACTCATTTCCCCATTAGGCTGTAGTGTTTTAAAAAAACCGTTGTGAAAACGGTTTCTGATATTTGGAATTCCAATCATGAATTTCTTGATAATCAGACAGGCGATCGGTCTGTAAAAGTCATGGAATTCATTTTTGACCTAAAGTTTATAATAATGATTGCAGCATGAGCTAAATCTAGGATTTTGTTTAGAATCAGAGGCAAAGTGACCTAATACCTTTAAAGATCACTCTCCATCTGTTAATTTTTTTTTTATATAAGTTCGAAACACAAGTACTTGTTTCATTTCGTTAGGAAGTCAAGGTCTGGTTGCTAGTTTCGAATCTATTTTTAGTCTCTGACTGGTCGTGTTGACACTAATCGAAACACGTTGACCTTCTGCTTTGGCTAGAATGACAAATGTCTTTCGAGAGTCGGTTGGTCCTGGAGCTGTAATTTCGATATCTTGGTTTCATATCGGCTCGTGACACGTCTTAATAATTGTGTCAAGTCTGCCTCGCGGAAGTAAACTATGAGCTGCAGCTAGCTTGAAAAATAGTAATGAATTAGGACAAAAATACGACCGTACACTAAAATTAGATAATATTTGTCTGTTTGTCTTTTCGCATTTCTATTCCCTTTCTCTATCGCTTTTTCCTATTTGCGAGAAACCAAAGCGAGTGAGAAAAAAAAATACACTTCACTAAGGTAAAAATGTTATTTCGACATCAAAAGACACCGCATAAGATTTAGGAATGAGAGATGGTCATTTCGCTACCCGAAACCATCCCGTTGTAATCTTCTAAAGTACTTTATTTCTTTATAACGTTATTTCGACATCAAAATTCACCAGGGAATCTTTGACAATAATATACTTAGGCACCTTGCTGCTCTGACATGAGATTTTCGGATACAAAATTATATTATGAAGTAAATGAATTATTAAGAAAAAAATGCAGGAAATTGATATCAAGATTTCGTTAACATCCTAAACATGAATTAGAGCAAGCACACGTTTCTTAATATCTAAATGCAAACGGTATGCATGTATATAGAACCTAATTTTGTAGTATTTTAGAACGCACCGGAAACATATCAGAGACAATGTACAATGTAATCTACATCTTAGCATGATTACATATACCTTATTTTTATAACCGAATTTAAAAGGAGGAGATGATGATGATGTTCACCAGCAATTTTCAATTTCATGGGCGTGGGCCGGGTTGAAGATCATTCTCACGGAAAGACCTCCTTCGAGTCTTATACAAAGAAAATGTTTCTCCTACGCGTATGCACAGACATAAAATCATGTATAAATAATATATTGTATACGTAATCTTATCTGCACAGGTACTATTACATATGTAATAGTAGTAAAAGTAGTAGTAGTAGTTAAAGGCATCGTTTCACAATGTTAAATCTGAGATGCACGGCCATACGTGTTATCAATGTCTGTCATATGGTGTAATATTGAAGCCCTAAACAAAAATTACTCTTCAAAATGATCAAGAAATGCCTCAAAAAAGTAAAAATGTTTGAATGACCGGTTTTACCATACTCCTTTTTTCCCAATAGACTGTAGTGTCATGAAAACCGTTAGGAAAACGCAAAATTTGGTTTCGATTTCTAATCATAAATAACTTGATAATCAGGCAGGCGATTGGTGTGTAAAAGTCATGGGGTTCCTGATTGACCAAAGGTTTATAATTATAATTGTAGGATGAGCTAAATCCAGGATTTTGTTTCAGAATCTGAGACAAAGTTACCGGATCCCTTTAAGGCAAGCAGTAGCAGTATCGTAGTAGACTAGTATAAAAGTAGTAGTAGTAGTAGTAGTAGTACTAGAAGTAGTAGTGATCGTAGCAGTAGAAGTATAGTAGCAGCAGCAGCAGCAGTAGTAGTAGTAGTAGTAGTAGTAGTAGTAGTAGTATAGTAGTCATGTTAGTAGTAGTAGTGGTGGTGGTTGTAGTAGTAGTAGTAGTAGTAGTATTAGTAGTAGAAGTAGTAGTAGTAGTAGTAGTAGTAGAAATAGTAGTGGTGGTAGTAGTAGTAGTAGTATAAGTAGTAGTAGTAGTAGTAGTAGTAGCAGTAGTAGAAGTAGTAGTAGAAGTAGTAATGGTATTAGTAGAAGTGGTAGTATTATAGGAGTAATAGTGTGGTGGTATCGTAGTATGTAGTGGCATTTAGTAGTAGTAATACTGAAGCAGCACCAGCAGTTGTAGTAGTATTAGTAGTAGTAGTAGTAGTAGTAGTACTAATAGTAGTAGTAGTAGTAATAGTATTAGTATTATTATTAATAGTTGTAGTGGTTATGGTAGTAAAATCGCCACGATATTTGGCCGATGTGTAAAGGGTTTCATATCCATATCTAAATCACATGCCAGTTACTTTCACTTCCGACGGCTCCAACAATAGCTATACTTCAGTGTCACTTAGAAGCTATAAGAAGGCATCGAAAACAAAAACAAAGGATGACAATCATGACACAGTAATTATTTTCGGTATTTGGTCAAAGTAGTGGTCTAGTTTCATCGCCATTTTGAAAGAAAGTTTGTTTTGGTTGCACTCTCCTTATCACCTGATCCGATATATCTTTCAGTATCGTTTTCGAAATATATCACATCCAAAATTAATAAATTAATATGGATATGATCGCACAAGGTGGAGAACAATTAATTTGTTCTTTTTTAAGAGCTCCGGAGGAATACCCTTCATGTTTATAGAATAATGGAATGAATTAGCAACAATCGAGTTACCTGACATAGACAAAATTAATGTTGCATTCGTGAGAAATATCAATATAATTTCCGTGTAATCCCAGGTCTATAAGTATGTTCGAGATCACCTGCTTTACGTGGAGAGCTCATTAATAGACTTAAAGTAGTTTTATGGACGGCGTATTAAGAAATAAATAATTATTTGCAATTAATGAATATCAGGAGGTTTATTATTAATCGCACGCCAAAAAATCCCGTATACCTCCTCAATCAGTGTCTGTTGCAAGAAAGGAATGAGCGAAAAGAAAAAGAAAAAACTTTACTTTAAAGATGAAGTTGAGTTCTGGTCATGCGATTGCATTGTGAAAGAAACGGTGTGGAATTGACCAGAAAAGGTTGATCATCTAGCATATAACAATTTGTGTGTATTGCAAGGTTCTGGAATCATCAAAATGATGAGAAGTTTGGCCAAGTCTTTGTAAAGTTACAAACACTGTACACAGAAAGATGTATATGGGACTACACGAACACGTGGCGTAAAAATCCTATCCTGGATTTTTACGATGCTACATGACACATTTAGAATATGAAGGCATTTGAAGAACCATGCTTTTCAGGGAACATGTCTTTTCTAATGTTCTTCCACACTTGCATAATAAGAATGATAACGCTCACAAATTATTTTTCACCTCTTCCCAGAACTCAACCTTCTCTTTAAGAAGCTATTCTGCATTGAGGGACTATGATGAAAATGCTACCCCTAGAATAACAATGGGAATTATTTGCGTATTTACGTATTTTTATTTAAAAAGGGTTATCAGTATCGTAAGTGATATTGATCTTTTCGACCACGCGTTGTTATGCGTTTCGGAAAATGAGCAATACAAAAGATGCAAAGCTATTTTCTTTTGCAACACAATATGATAACTTTACCTTGAAACTTTCTAATACATGATGCTTTAAAAAATAAAAAGCATTTAAAGATATATCTATCTGCACGCTTTTCACCAAAAAGAGGGGGAAAAGGAAAAGAAAAAGTCGAATAAATAATATTCCTTCAGCTTTAGCAATTGGAAATCTCTCTTCAATACTGCAATTCTTATATTTGTCACGTTATAATTCATAGTTTTCGTCAAATCTTCATGATGAGTGTTTATGAATATGGATGAAAAAATGGACATAAACCAAATGTTATGTTAAATAACGAGCATTGTTCTTTGCTCCTGTGTGTGTGTCTTAACCAGGTACGAGGCATCACCAGATAACAACTGTTTTAGTCATTGGGATTCACAACAAATATTACAGCCTTCCGTCGAAATACAATCAAATATCTTTGTAGTAAACAGTCTTTATTCACTTTTTTCCCCATAATAGTAAGTCTTTCTGGAAATTATTCGCAAGGTCAAATAACGCAGCCATGACTATTATTTGTTGAATCACTAATCTTTTATATTTTTTTGCGATTTATTCTCAATTTTACAGAAACAAAACAAGGCAACCTAAGGCGTCCCTTTTCAACGCCACCAAGTTATCCAAGCCATCTGTCACCTACATCAAGGTTTGGCCCTCCTTTCCCGTTTCCGGGTCACAACTTGTCTCCTACACCTCATGTCTCGCAGCAATCTAGGACCGTTTCGACGGGGTCCTCTGCACCCTCCACTGCCACTCTATCATCTGGAGGCAGTCTACAAGATGGTGCGCCGCAGCGGTCAATGCAGCAGGACACACGGCGGCGTGTACCTCCAGAACGGTTCTTCCCTAATTCTGGAGCTTCGTCCGCCGTAGAGGGCGCCGCTCGACAACAACGCACGTTGATGTACCATCAACAGCTGCTCTACGTGACAAAGCGGTTACATCGCCTCGGGTTTGGAAAGGATCCCTTCGGTCGAAGTCAAGAAGCGGGTGCTACTTCACTCGGAGCCGCGCAACCGCAACAAAGCGTCTTTCAGCAACCCCTCCACCAATTGCAGCAACTTAACCCGCAACGCCAGGATCGATCAGTTCATCCCTCAGGTCAATCTGCAGAGCTATGTGTCGACGAAAGTGGTAGTCAGACAGCAACGACATCTCAAGGAAGCAATAGTCCAGTATCCCAGGCGTCCGCAATGGTAACATCTGATCCAACGCAAGCACAGAGTCCACATATCCGTGGTTTCTTCATGCACCAACCTGTCAGACGCTGTAGCAGCGTCTCTCAGAGTCCTACGGGAATGCCCGCTCTATCCGGGATGTTCGGCGTGCAGACGCCGTCGCAATATGGCCGTGCGGTCCAATCCGACGCCACCATACGACAGCTTCTGCAGCGCCAGTCGAACCAACCGTACCCGACCTCGGGCACCCCTATCCACCAACTGCACCATCAACATCAACGGTATGTGCAACAGCAACACCATCACCAGCAGGAACACCAGCGACGTTCCCAAACGCCCATTCGTAAAGCTCCTCTCTCGCAGCAGTTAAGTGAAGGGAGCGGTAGCGTGAAGCCGGCAGCCGTGGGGCCGCGACGTTACTCAGCGCCGTCATACACCACCGAAGTCGTAATGAAAAAAGAGAGTGGTGATCAATTCTCAAACCATGGTGGAGCCACAGCCCAACTCACTGAAAGCACCCAAGCTATGGACTCGGCGGGATCAGAGGGATTGGAACCACTCTCTTACGTACAGAGGGGTAAGTCCTATAGCCATGCTGTTGTTGTTGTGATGGTGGCAGTGTTTTTCCGTGTGGTTACCGTTGCTTCTATGGTACCGGTGTTGTTGGTGTTGTAACTCGGGGTATTAATGTGGTTGTTGATGGTGTAATTGCCATTCATAGTATCGATGTTGAAGGTCATAGTGGTGATGATGGTGGTGGTGAGCCTGGTTTTGTTGTACAGTGTTGAGGTAACATAAAATGCTCTCCTTCACCATGTTTTTGACGTTGATGTTGTTAATGTTCTCGTGTAATTATCACATAGCATCTTCACCTCGTTTTCATCTAAGAATAATTGAAGTATAGTAAGCAGCAAAGAGCTTCTTGTTTAGATTCAGAAAACACAGGAACACAACGCCCAAAGAATAGCGGGCTATCATTGTTGTTGTCATTCAATGTTAGATGGCGCTTTTCAGTGTCTCCAAGATTATTTAGGCCACCCTTCAGCGTCTTTATGTTGCTGATGAAGGCGGAGGGATTAAGCTGAACGGAAGAATGATTCCCCTCTTTTTCACTTCATAATCAGACTCTTGCCTTGTCACCGGTGTGGTGATAGGCGATTGAAGGGGATCCTCTTCGGGTTTTGGGGAAGGGGCTCCGGGTTCATAGCCGAAAGAACTCCTTATTGTTTATTTCCAGCGTGAAATAGGAACAACGCGCGTTCCAACCGGCTACCATTGTCCGATTTCGGCTTATCATTCATACTATGACGAATGCGAGAAGTTTCCAATCTTAGTATTCTCGCTCCCTTTCTAACAGTTAGTTTTGTTGTTTTAAACGACTGGTAAATACGCCTATTTTCCGTTGTCTAGATATTTCGTCCAAAATGTGAGGTTTGTTTTCTTTTACAGGGCCCCGTTGCATAAAACTTAGCAAGGAAGGTAATTTTCCATTGATGTTAGTTTTCGTAAAAACCTTGATTTTGTTTACCGTTGAGTGATAATGCCTTGGCAGTTTAAGGTATGATGTAACCTTGCCTCTGATTCTAAACAAAATCCTGGATTTAGCTTATCCTGCAATCATAATTATATACCTTTATGTAAGAAATTAATCCCATGACGTGTACAAGCCAATCGCATGCATGTTTGATTATCAAGATATTTATGATTGAAATTCGAAATTTCAAAAACCGTTTTCCCAACGTTTTTTATAACGCTATAGTCTATTAGGGGAAAAAAGTATGGTAAAACCGGTCACTTACGAGTTTTTACTTTTTTGAAGCACTTCATTATCGCAATGGTTGTAGGCAGTGGCGTACGCAGGATTTTCAAGGGGGGGGGGGGGGGTTTCCAAAAAAACATACATAAAACATACACATAAAAAAAAAACTCGAGGGGGGGGGGTTAACCCCAAAACCACCCCCCCCCCCCCCCTGCGTACGCGCCCGGTTGTAGGGCTTCATTATTACACCATATTGGACACTGAGCGCACGTAGGGCCATGCATCTCAGATAGGTAATACCGGAAACATTTTTAAACAATGCCTTTGATATTAATGGCAAAGTTACCACAAGTGGTAAGTTTTATGCATCGCGTCCAAAAGAGAGATATGCAGAACGTTTGGTACCGCGCACGTATTCTTTTTCTTTCTTCACCTGCTTAGAAAAAGGAAAACGGTTTTATTCGATTTTTTTTTATTACGTAAGATTTATCTTCCTTCTTCAAATCGTTAACTAATAATGGCAGCCGATATACCAGCTACATTTCATGATCGATATGTTCTGTCTGTATCGAAAAAAGGGGGGAAATTGAAGAAAGGGAAACGGCTTATACTATTTGTGCGGGGGTATTATTTTATTGGTCCTATTGGGAAAATAGTATTTATATTGGTATGAGGAAACGTTGTAAGAGGCTCTGTAGGCGAAAGAGAAAATGACATTGAGGGGATGGGGGCGGTGGCCAGAGCCATTGAGGAGAAACAAAGTAGTGGGAGAAACGGAAGTGATTAGAGAGAGAGAGAGAGAGAGAGAGGGGCATATAAAGACAGAGAGGGGGAGGGGGAGAGAGAGACAGGCATTTAAGACAGAGAGGGGGAGGGTAGGGGGAGGGAAACACACAACAAAAGAAGGTTATACAAGGAAGATGAGGAGGTGGACACGAATATTAGGTACGCATGAAAAGGAGGGCTGAATAAGCAGGAAAGAGATAATGAGAGGAAGAGGGATACGGAGAGAGAGAGAGAGAGAGAGAGAGAGAGAGAGAGAGAGAGAGAGAGAGAAAGGGTTGGGATGTGGGGGTAAGATATTAAGGCTGGAAAGATAATGTGGATAAGACCCCCCATAGACAATGCAAAGAAAAGAAGAGACAAGGAAAGGACAGGGTGGGCGGGGGGGGGGGGGGGGGGGAGGAGGAGGTGGTACTGGTGGAGATTTAGGGGTTGTGAAAGACAAATTGATGATTAGAATTTAAAAGGAAAGGAGATTGATTTAAACACGATTTAAAACCCTTCTAGAGAGGGGTAACCCAAATGTTAATAAATATATATAATAAGCATGATGTGCAAATTAAATGAGATGGGATGAGCAGAGAAACGAACTTAATTCTGGAAGAAAGAGTAGAGAGAGAGAGGAGGTAAAGATAGATATCTAGAGAGAGAGAGAGAGAGAGGGGGGGGGGGGAGGGGAAAAAAGAAAAAATACAGAAAGGGGGTGTTGATTACAATATGAAAGGATAGAATAGTAAGTATTCAGTATTGAATAGAAAACATTATATCGAAAAAAAAATGATCAAAATGGGATAGAAAGGTAAAGGAAAGTACTACTACATGAGATCGCGTGCAAGGGGGATTAAACAAGCTTGAGTTATAAACAAAAATGGATTTATAGATAGATACATTTTCTTGAACTACAAATGAAAATAAATAATAACATATCCGTAAAGCGCTTAGAGGCATCGTCGATGTATTAAGCGCTAAACCAAAAGCGGAATATTATTATTATTATTATTATTATTACAGATATTTTATCCCAATACAATATCAACATGAGTTTATTTTTTGACGTCAAAACATTCTTGAATCCAGGTAACTATCATAGCTAATTAAATACTTGGCATTATTCTCAAAAAACATGAACAACATAGTGCAGGGATAACCCCCAAATCGGTCATTCGTCTCTGATTTCTCAAAATGCTTTCTTTACAAAACATATAACAGATAAAGGCTGTAGCACGTTTTTCAATTCCCATGCAGCTCTCTCTTGCAATTTGTCAATGGTTATGGTTTGAAATATTGACTTTGGTTGGTCTCGAGCTAATATTTTATTTCTTTTTATGCGATTACCGGGTAATGCACACCGTTACTGGGAAAATGCCGATCACGTGATAAAGTCACGTTGGAAGGGGTTTCCCCTCAAACCCGGCTTCTGACTGATAATTACCGTTGACACATGGACCGATCAAAGTACAATGTGTACGGACGCCCTCTCGCGTTGACTATAAGCATAGTTTCTTCGCAAGGCTCTTCAATATGAAGGAGCGATGTCGCAATCTCACGATGAATAAGTTCTTCTTAAAATATTCCATGAGTCATGCCCGAATTGGGAAGATTGCATCATTCCTCTTGAAAATCATGATATTTCATTTTCTTTATTCATCTTTCAATAAGATGAGTTGCCTTACAATGATAAACAAAGCGATCGTGTTTAGAAGCACGCATCAGAAAAACATCAATTATTTTAATGAAATGCGTTAACGCCCTTGTTGCTCTAATCGTAGAAGTAATTTATGATGCAATCAAATATTCGCTATTTTGTTTTGTTATCTAGGCTTGATCTATTTTAAGTCACAACACTTGGTTGGATTTGCATTATGATTGTTTATGGTACATTTGTGATATTGATGTTTCAATTATTATTACTACTAATTTGTTTGTGTGCTCGTGTTGCTGCTTTCGCTTTTGTTGCTGCTGCTACTCCTACTTCTTAGCTAGTGAAGTAAATGTATTAACTTTCGCCTACTCCTTCTACAACTACAACTACTACTACTACTACTTCTACTACTTCTACTACTACTACTACTACTACTACTACTACTACTGCTACTACTACTACTTCTACTACTTCTACTACTACTACTACTACTACAACTACTACAACTACAACTACTACTTCTACTACTTCTACTACTTCTACTACTACTACTACTACTACTACTACTACTACTACTGCTACTACTACTACTACTACTACTACTACTGCTACTACTCACCTTCTTTCTGTTTCTCTTTTTGATACAATTTTAGTTCGCTATTTTCTCCTCTGTCACTTTCTGCTTTCCGAAATTTCTTTCTTAATCCCCCTCTCTCTCTCTCTCTCTCTCTCTCTCTCTCTCTCTCTCTCTCATTATCACCCTTCTCCTCCCTTTCTCCCCTTTGCCCCGTAACACTCTCTCCCTCCTTTCCTCTTTCTGCCGCCTCTCTCGGCTTCGCTTTGCCTGTCAATGTCACTTCTTAAAACAAATTGATTTACTTGAAGTAGGCCTACACAGACACACAATGCCTCCTTGATTTTACATTTTTCAGTATAGTGCCCCTCACGAACACCCGCACACACCTCTACAAAATCGTGTAGTCCTCCCACAGTAGTCGTGCGACTGATCTGATATCACTAAGATTCCTACTTAGCCCGTCGGGCCTTTTCCTCCTTCGTGCCGACTCTTACTTTGCAACCTGGATATTTAGCATGATCAGTGAGAATTTGCAACATCAAAGAATTGTTTCATTTCCTTCTCTATTCTCTAACCAGTGAATTGCTTTGGCGCCATCTAACGATAGAGTTTGGACAGGAGCCGGGTTACAGCTTGCGTGGTTACTATGGTTTTCAAAAGTTGCAGCGCAATGATAATGGCTCATGTACTAATAATTATGTGAGTAGTGAACCGACGTTTGCTACGCACAGGGTCTTGATAATAGCGACAATTTCTTCTGGCTTTCTGTGCAGTAAAAGAGAGAGAGAGAGAGAGAGAGAGAAGTTTTTTTTTTTGGGGGGGGGGGGGGGGGGTAGGAGGATAAGCCATCATTGTAAAAAGAGATGGATTTTGGGGGAACACGACTACGTCAATTGTACACCAATCGTGAGTAAACAAACCGCAAGATAATTTTTTTCTTCTTCAACGTCCAAATTCCAAATTCTCTCGTCATATTTCACAACAAATTGGTTGACATTATTGCAACACACCGTCGGAGCGTTATCAGATCCACACACTAATAATCGGATGATCTCAGTGATGATCGAAGTTCTAGGAAAGTCATCAAATAAAATTCCTCAATCTACGTCAATGGTGGTAATGATTGTATTGTTCCTTCTTGGTGTAATTATTAATCCGCAAAACAAACCTTACTGACCCGAAACATGAATCCAAAATGTTATTGAAGTTATTAACGTATGCGGCTTTTGAGGGGGCAGAATGGTTTTTAGCTCATATACTTTAAAATAGATTCAATACCCCTCTGATTCTCTGATCTCAGCCTTTTTCTTTGGAAAATCATAAACAAATTTCTGTGGGAAGTAAAAGCATAATTGTGGGATGACAATGTTACGCAATTTCTTTGAAAGTATACTCCGGCTA